ATTCATCAAGAAAGTAATAATTTCCATGATTATTTTGTCACACTATTCCTATTAATTGATGTTTAGTACTATATTCGTCCACTTTTAATTGTCATAGTTTCCTTTTTAGAATCAAACGACAATAACTTTCTCTAACATTTTACGATGTATTTTTCCATCATATTGATATGCAAAAAATTGGAATTTATAGTACTTTTCGTATAGTTTTTTAATATCTAAATTTTTTGTTTAAAATATCGAATTAATGTAATCTAATTTAACTTTGAAAAAATAATCAAATTGACTTTTGAAAAGCACAGTCTAACAATTAAAATGGACAGAGAGAGTAGATCTTAGCAAATGATTTAGAGAGTAAAAGTAATTAATGCTAAGCATAAAATATGAAAAAAAAATATTATCTTTTCTTAATATTTTTAAATTAAAAATTAGGGGTAATCAACCAAGGAAATCTAGGCAAACTATTAACGGCATATTTGTACGTTTAGTTCTTAGATTGCCATAACTACAAATACACATTTTATTTGAGTACTTTCATTATAGTGAACTCTTGTGGTAGTTTAGAGTTTCTTGTTTTTCATTTCCACAATTAGTACTTTGTTTTCTTTATTTTTTTCCTGTATGTACCAAATAGATTATTCGTACCAAGTTTCGAATGTATAGAGTTCGGTCAATTAGTTTATCAACATGGTCAGTATATATAATATATATGTTATTAGCGCATATATATTGTATATAGCAATGTATATTATATATTAAATATAAAGTATACACTACCTATATATATAGTTTGTACATATTTTTTTAAAATTAGTAAGTGGAAGTTTTTAGAATCGTAATCATCCTTTAAATAAATAAAAAATTATGGCAGAATTTGGGAAGAAAGGGAGAATATTGAAAAAAAAATAAAAAATAAGAAACACAATGGTTTTAAGTCAACATTTAGGCCCAAATAATATTTCTTGGAGCCTTTTTGTTTTGACTTGTTGATCGCTCATCCTTCTAAACTGTAAAAGGTTTTCAACTTTTAATTTCCAATTCATACACATGAGCAATTTTAGTGCTTCGTATTTATTAAAATTGGTCTTTAAAATATTATTATTGGAACATATTGGGGCCCATAGCCCATACTCAGACCATTTTAATAAATAAAAAAAGGTAAACTACATAAATCTCACTACTTTAGATCCTAATTACTAGAATTTCCATTAGTTTTTTATATTACTTTATATATCATTTTTTGGCCTTCGGATACATGTATCATGGCAGGTCAGATACATGTATCCATCAGATTTAAAAATTAAGATACACTATTTAATTGCTTTTAAATTAAAGATTGTAACTTTTTTCCTTAATTAAAGAAGTAAATGATGGAAATTAACAACCAAAACGGATATAAAAGATTCTTCCAAATCAACTCTTACCACTTTTAGTAACATATCGAAATCATAAACTTTAGTATTTCTAAAATTGTAAACTTCATCTCTTCGTCAATACCTTTCTGTGTATCCTCAAGTTTCAAATTTTTTTTCCAAATGGTCAATATCATAGTATTATTGAGGCATTCGGATTCATGACTCTCTGAAATCAAATACAAAAATTAAGAATCGATGGAACACAATTTAGTAGCGTGCAACTTGCCGACACTGATTTCTGGTCTTGACAACGTTTCTGGGCCATCAAACAAGGAGTGCTGCTTTGTTAAGCCAACAAAAAATTTGTCCAAATAATATTGCATACCACCAAAAAATCAACCAAATCAAAACACACTAAATTTGTCCATGGCTTTAACATTGACAGATTTCATAACTATGAATTGAGTGTACACGCAAAAGCATTGAGATCAGCTATATAATGGAAGACAATTTGATTACAATAATGAAATTCGAAATGAGATGAGAATGAGATATCTTATGGAATTAAAAAGATGTAAATTTGATTGCGGGTTATATCCATTATGCATAACAATTAAAGATCAAAATTTTGGCCATAGTAATAATGGTGAAATATCTTTTGAGCGAGATACATCAATTGTTCGAATGGGAGTTGAAGGTAGAACTGAAACTACATGTAATGCTACTTCAGATACATGTATAAAATTTCATTCATTTCTTTTTCAAAAACACAAAAAGTGTATAAATATTCTTCTTTCTATTAATTCAATTTTCTTTCTTTGAATCTCAATTTATATATTTTTAAATATATATATAATTTTTATTTTTATTTTTTACAATAATCAATCTTCATTTCGAATTATAACCATGATGGTGAAGTTATTTTTTAGCCAAATTCATCATCTTTTCGATTTGAAATTGAAAGTGCTAGTGCTGCAAAAATAACTTGAGATACAAAGACAATGAAAGTTTAATTACATTAACGTAAAATATTCAAATACATAATGATATTATATCAAATACATTAATAAATATACTAGATATAACCAGAGAGGCATATGCACGCCAAATACATTAACATAAAAATCAGATACAAGACATTAACGATTTAGGTACATTAATAGAAAGTAGATACAAGACATTGGAAGTTTAGATACATTAATAAAAAGATAGATACATAAAAATATTAAATGAGATACAGGAAAAAAACACACACTAGATACATAGGGCTATTAAAATCAAGGGCGACTATAATCAAATACAATTTATAAAGTTTAGATACATTGAAATTACAATTAGATACATATGAAAATTAAACTAGATACATAATGAAATAATTTTACCAAAGTTCTGGAGAGATGGCAAAGGGAAACTTGATGATAGAGAAAAAATATTAATGGTAATTGGATAATTAATTTTGGTGTTTAAATATAAAGATAATTAATCAATTCTAGTTTTAAGGGATTTGTGTATCTAATATGTATTTAAAATATATGGTATAAAATATTAAAAGTGGTAATATATGTAATTGTTTGAAAGTACAGATAATATTAGTATATATGGTATAGATGTACGTTTAGTTATGTAGTTTAAAAAAGAAAAGATTAAATATGCTCCTAACATATTAGAAATAGTTTTAAAATGTTCATTCTTCCATCTATCAAATTTTTAAATTTGCCCCTCCCACGTCTTGAGATAAAAAATATTCTTAACTTATTAGAAATGAATAAAAAATGTACCTTCACTTATGAGATATAATTTTCCCCTAACGTTATTTTCATACATAAAATTATCCCTCCATTCACAAAATGCAGTGTATGTGTGTATCACGTTAATTGCCCCTCCATTAACGATATGCTTTAAAATAAAAGGTGTAAGGAAGGATATGATCCTTATTTTATGTATATTCCCTTTTAAGGTAAAACTTTTTGTCCAGATAAAATACTTTTAAACATTATGTCCTATGGGACTCCCAAGTCCCATCAAATAATTATGGAGACATAAGTACAACGCAGGTAGTATATGTTTTGAAATTTCCCTGCTTGAATAGATATAGGTGGAGTTAGAAGGTTGGAGTTCAGTTCTATTGAATTAAGTAATATTTATTAAATAATGTATTTGTATTAAAAAATTTATATATAAATATAAATTTTAAACTCAAATACTATGATTCAAAGTCGTTATTTTAAAATTTATAACTCATAAAATTAAAACCTCCGAACTCTATATAAGTAATCAATGGTGTCAATATATAAGGTCTAATAATGCCAAAATTTGTTTTAGAGTATTTATGTCGTTGACTGCTGGCAAGTTGGGGTATTAGACTCTAATGTAAACAGAGAAATGGGGCAGACAAAATGTGAAAAGCAGAAGACTCTATAATAGAAGGCTCCCATTAATTTCTTTACTAACTAAAAATATATTTTAAAAAATACAATTATGTGCAAATATTTCATTGATTTCCATCTATATGTAAACTTTTTCTAAGTTCGTTGGAAAAAAATATACAGTAGTATTTATATTTAATATTTAATTGACTCTAATATTTTAGATGTCGTGATATGATCTAAAAGAATATTTGATACACATATTTTTAATTTAAAAATTACAACATTCATACTTTCTAAACTTCATGTTGGAGGAGGGAGTAATAAATTGTGATACACAGTGGCAAGACAGTGTTTTCAGTAAGAAGATTTAAAATTTGAAGAAATAAGCACACGAACTAGTCGAAAAGGGTCCGATATTTATAATATATACATAAAAAATAATTTTATTCATGTATAACTTGTATAATTTTCTGATAAAGGAAGTTCGGATGAATTCTTTACCATAAGTTGGCTCCGCCCCTAATGATACACATTATGATTCAAGAATCTAAATAAAATGTATTGATAAGCTTAAGAGGTTGTCGATAAATTTTATATTTTTATATTTATAAAGGGATATCAAAAACTTTTATATTAAACAAACTTCTGGTTCTAGTAAAAAGGGTCAAGTTGAGCTGTATTTCAATCCTAAATGATGAGCTGAATTAGAATAGTAAAAATAAGTTTAATTAATAAATAATCGAGTCATAAACTCGCAAATTATGTTTTCATGAGTTAAATTTTTTATTCCACTTTACATTACAACAAAAACAGTTTTTAGTAACAATAAATATACACATGAATAAAGAGTGTTAAAGTCTTTATAGACACTATAGCTAATTGTTATTGAATCTAATATTTTTATATGCTTTAGAGATATTTATAAAGAATGTAAATTACCTTTAAAAATACATATTTAGCCGTAATTAAACTATTATCGTTTTAATTTCTTGTGAGTGTTATCACTAAAAGTCAAGAGAGTATTACTTAAGCAGCCGTCGCCTTATTGGATGTATGCGTGCCTTGACCTTTGATGGGACCAGCCGTCTTCTTATTGGATGTATGCGTGCCTTGACCTTTGATGGGAGTTCCCATTATTTATTCTAAAACCAGATTCTCATTAGAAATTAGTTGAACAATTATTAAATAATCACAAACATGGCTACCACATATGTATATAAAACAGCACAAACTTTACACTGCAAACTAAGTATCAAGGTAAACAAATCAAATTAAGAAAATGGTGAGAACTCCTTTTACTGATAAAAATGGAATAAAAAGAGGTGCATGGAGTGAAGATGAAGACAATAAATTAAGAGCTTTTGTTGAAAGATTTGGTCATCCCAATTGGAGACAATTGCCTAAATATGCTGGTTAGTATATATATTTTAGCCCAAACTTTTTCTCATTCATGTTGTATCCTTTTTTAACTTTTTTAGCATATGCTTCTTAGTATTACTCAGTACTCCTCCATTCTATTTTATGTGTATAGTTTTGATCAGACATGGAGTTTAATAAAGGTAAAGAATTTTTGAATCTTGTGATTTAAAATATGTTATGTGTGATGTTGGAATTAAAAAAGCTAAAAAATTAAAACACATAAATTGAAATAGAGGACGTAGAATTTGGGAAGAGAATTAAAGTTCGTTTTTTTTAAAGCAAATTTACCACTAGACAAAGTGTCTAGCAAGGGGAGTTAGACCTTACCTTACTAATCCTAATAAAGTATCTGATCTATACGTACTAACAAGCATGAAGAAAAAAAGAGTTAAAAAGAACTAAGTATTTTGTGATCACTACAGAGTCTGTAATACACTCTATGATGATTTTACAAATGAGAATGCTTAAATAATAATGACAACCAAGAAGAAGGTTGAGTTATGAGCCTCAAACTTTCTTTTACAAAAGTATGAATTAAAAAAGATTGATCGTCCATCAAACGTTCAATTCTTACTAATTATTTTTTGGGGGGGTATTTTTCAGGTCTAATGAGATGTGGAAAGAGTTGTAGATTGAGATGGATGAATTACTTAAGGCCTGGTTTGAAGAAAGGAAATTATAGTCATGAAGAAGAGCAACTCATTATTAAATTACACAACGAACTCGGAAACAGGTATAAATATATATGTTGCACTAAGACATTACATTATTAATTAAACTAATTAAGTCGTACATAGTATTTCCTTTTATAATACGTATCAAATGTTGCAGATGGTCAGCGATAGCTGCAAAATTACCAGGAAGATCAGACAACGATGTAAAAAATCATTGGCATGCTCATCTTAAGAAACGTCTGAGATTAACAAATACCTATTCATCAACATCAGAGCAATTTACTCATGAATCTTCGCAGTTTGATTCTCAATCTTGTGAACATGATGAAGATGGCTATAATTTATCGAATACGATAAATGGAATGGACTGGATCGAAGAAAATAATAATCACATTAAGACAATGGAACAACTTTCAAGTATCAATACAGTGGAACAATCACTTCCAAACAATCCTCAGACAGAAACCTTTGATTTTAATTTTTGGTCCGAACCATTATTCGACGATTTTTGGACACAATCTCTCTTTCTTCAATAATATTAGAGCTTTTGTATTTTTTGAACATAAATTAATTACGTATTTATATCTTATAAGAGTGAGTAATAACAATAATAATGTTTACTGTGTAATATATTAAGGACGTTCACTTGCTTTAGTCAAAATATGTTACTCTCTACATTTTATTTATATTTTACCTATGGTGTGTGGGTGGACATAAAATTTAACTAAAAGGTATTTGTTATTTTATTTTATGACTATAGGATATGTCACTAAAGTAAAATAGAATAATAAAGTTAAAAAGAATATTCACTGCTAAAACCAGATCGCCAAAATTAGCGGATAAACGTAGTTTTTCATTTTATTTTTTTTATTTAAATCAACAGACTAGACTACGTTGGTAGTTGGAAAATAATGGCTTATGGTTTATACTTTATAGTCAACTAAATTCTTAAGATTTATTTTAGATCATAATTCCAAAACGAAATTAATTATTTACAATTTAAATTTCATAACTAATCAAACAATATTATATAAATAGATCTGTTTATAATTAAATAGACAAAATAGAAAGAAAAAATAGTACTACTATTAGTATAAAGTATAATGGAACATTATTCATGGCCATATTGACTCTTCCTCCAACGTGTTGTAAGGACATTCGGATCCGCGTTTTCGGCGAAAACTCTAAGTAACGCCAAAAAATCATGACGTAAATTTCATGACCTCAACTAACCAAGAATATATACAAAGTATTTGCAACCACTTGTATTTATTTAGTAATCTAGAAGGAGTAATTGATTGCTCTAAATAATCTTGACTATTTATTTGGACTACCAAATGTTAAAATATGAACCTTCTAAATGGATGTGTCTCTAATCTCGTGTCACGATATTTATAATTGTGAGATTAAGAAATGAATACTTATAGTAGGGCATGCCAGAAAGTATAGATAAAGCTTTAGGGCCATTTTGGTCATGCGATATGGTATATCATGATATAGAATCATGATATGATATCATAATATGAAATTATGAGATTATATTAAAATTTTGTTTGGACATGCGATATGGAATTTTGTGTTGTATATTTTCTCATAAACATAAGAATCCCATAAATTTTGAGTTAAAGTGACTATATGTTGGTGAGAATAATAAATTTTATGTCGGTGAGAATAATAAATTTTAAAAAGTAATGATGTCATTTTAAATTTTATTTACATATAAAATAAATGGTTAGTAGATATAAATTTGGGGTTGTTTTAACAAAATATAAAACTTGTGGATCAAAATTTTGTAATTAAAAAATATCTCAAAATCATGATATGGAATTCCATATCATGATTTTTGGAGATTATGGAATCACATCTCATGATATGCATGGAATCATGATATGGAATCATGATATGGAATCAGCGTAAAATCGCATGTCCAAACGTACGCTGATTCCATCTCACGATTTCATATCGTGATATGATATCGCATGGCCAAACGCCTACTTAGACTTCAGAGTACGTGATATTCGATCATGTAATTATCGTCTCAAAAGAGTGATAGTTTATCTATGAGGTTAGCAATAACGCTACTTTTTGATAGATCAAGGGTGTGTTTGGTAGGAAGGAAAGTGTTTTCTTGGAAAATAAGTGGGTATCTAACTTATTTTCTCATGTTTGGTTGGTGACTAGAAAATATTTTCTGGAAAATATTTTTTAATGTTTGGTTGGTGAATGAAAAATATTTTTCAAAAAATATTTTTTATTTTTGACTTGAGACTAAAAAATACTCTTTCGGAAAATAATTTCTGATTCGAAAATCAATTCCGATAATTGATATAGAATCCGACCTCAATACCCAAATTAGGACAAGACCTCGATAACCGTTCCTAAATCTGACCCTGAGATTTGACTCAGGAAAAAATTTCTTGAATTTGAAATATTTTCCAAATTTTTTTTTTTTTACGGGAATGACCTAGGTGGGGTGGCGTGGTAGGTGTCACACCCCAAGCCTACACCCTGGGCGGAACTGGCACTCGAAAGCCATTGCTGGCCCCAAGCGAACCCTTGCCTGGCTTACTTAACTCAGCGGAAGACAATATTCATATCTATAATGATCAATGAACTTAACTGAACTGGATAATAAAATAAATGAGAATGTTTTAAAGATTAAACATTCAACTTGGCCAAAAGTGGCAACCCAAGTCTTAATAATAAAAAATGATAATGAAAAGACTCAAAGGACTAACATATAACTGTCTATGAAGCCTCTAAAACAGCTGAGATGGATGTTGGGACAACCCCTACAACATCCTAATGAACTAACTATAAAGCAATAAAAAGGAGTCCTCTGGAATGCAAAGAAGCTCACCGACTGACTCTGAACTACTCACTGGATCAACGGTGCGCTGGAATGCCGATCATAGTTACATGTGTCTGCATCATAATAAGATGCAGACTAACTGGCATCAGTACATTGAATGTACGAGTATGCGAGTTGGAATGCTAAAACAACATAGGCTTGAGAGGGAAATCTGGAAAAAAAAACACTTACCTTGGCTTTTCTCAACTCATGAATACTTACTGAACTCATTTCAATATAAAGCAGTTTAAACAAGTGCAATATAAGAAAAGCTGTTTAAAAACATGATGTCAACTTTGTTTATATACAAGGATACAACATAACTCTGAAATGTATGTAAAATACAATAACTTATGTGTGAGTTTCTCTAACCGATCACCATCACATAGGAGCTATAGTGATGATACAACGATATTAAAAGGAACAAAAACGTTTGAGAGAAAGCCTAGTTGATTAGGAAGAGAATATTGGTTCCTTTCTTAATTTAAAATATCATTGCATCCCATCATATATACACGCTAAAACTAGAGGTTATTAGAAACCGCATCTAACTAATTACAGTTGTGCACATGATTTGCACTTTATGGTACACTAGCCCATCTATTCCAATCTTGTCTGACTTAGACAACTCTCCCTTTTTCAATCAGTATCTTGTTTGTTTCGTTAACACAATTTGCTATACAACTACTAGCTAGTTGATAGTGTTATTTCAATGACCTTATGTTGTTGTAACAATTCTGACAGAAATCATAGAACACTACAAGAAGTTGCACTTTCAGATATGGGAAGGGACATGTTCAAAATAAGTATTGATTAATCATGAATAGGAAGAATACTTACCCCAATCTCCCTAGCTGCTTCAGTTACATAACTTCCATCTTTTCTCTTATGTGTTTCAGTCCACATTTTACCTCGATCAACATCTTTTCCCTTTGCCTTCTGAAATTTTCAAATTGTAAAACATTAGTAAGTAATTAAGAAAATGCATTGTCACAACATAACCAGATCAGGATATTCAGTCGAGCCTGATTGATCTTATCAGACTTGAGAACCAAGCGTAATGAGAATTTCAAGTTTCCAACCAAATAAAAGGACAAAGAGAAGGGAAAAAGATATTACCAGAAGACTCCAGTCAACGAGACAATGTTCATCAACCAAATGTCGAGATACATTTTGATCTACTTGGACATTGTCTTTAGCCTGCGAGATGAATTTCATAAGTTGCTCAGAACTTCAACTTTTCAACACCAATTAGTGCTCTTTTAGTCACTTTCGAAACGTCTGGCTTAATATATAACATTCAGTTAATGAGAAATAACCTCGCAACTCCACACCTATCTGGCCTCCTTCTCTGTTACCAAAGGCATGGATAGTACTCCTTTTATTGGAATGATTATTGAAACATTAGCTAACGATTGAAGTGTTTATTCAAATACACATACCTCCACTCTCATCACTTTTTTACTGAAACTAAGATAAATTATCTGAAAAAAGCAACTCAAAGCGTGTAACCATCATTAACCTTTCCTATTCTATGAACTTACTAATATTGTGAAAAGTAGGTACTAATATTTTATAAACTTCTTTAAATTCTTCAATGTGATGAAGTACTACTGTGTCAGAAACAATGAACAGAGAATAAAGTTTTGGTTTGTTAAAGAAGAGACTAAAAATTTATCAACTTTTTAAACATGGGGAAGAAGGATGATTATAGGTCTAAAGCCAAAAGTAAGGGATGATTTTGAGCTATTTCTCGCTACAACCACATCTCTGCTCAACAAACAACAAAGATCGGGAATCCTCTACCTATTGATAAACAATCAACTCTCAATGCGGACAACTGAGCACCACATATCGATGTGCTTGACGTTTCACCATCAGGAGCAGTAAAATATCATGATTAATATCTCAGCAGCTCAAACACTCAATAAAAAAGAAAGTTACATTAATAAGAGTTACATACCTATCACATGATTTACTATCGAAGTTGATCTCAACACCTTCACCAACAGGTTTTGATGCCTCAACAACCTATCAAGCTCATATATAAATTTAGATTAATAATTGAATTATTCAACAAAAAAAATTAACAAAATGTAACTCAAATTTAGAAGAAAGAAAAGCCCTAACAAAAAACTAAAATCCTACATGCATGAACTGTAACAAATCTCTACAATCTCAAATATGCATGAATTCTAACAAAAAGCTTACCTATCAACTTAGCACCATTTCAGATTGAACAAACAAAAGCTTTGCTGGTGAAGAGATGGTGATGGCGGCTTCTTTTCTAGTGAGTGATAAAATTCAAATTGAAAAGTTTTACAATGAAATTGAGAAGCCTATCATTGTAGATATGAGCTTATCTACAATATACACCGTGGATCGAGAGCTAATTTGGGCGATCGATTTGAGAACATTGAGAGCAAATTTGGGCGATTGATTTGGAAGATATAAATATATACCTTACAAAGACTAATTTGGGGATTGATTCAAAGTGGAAGAGAGAATGAAAATCGTTTGACTGATTTGCTAAATTGATTTCTTTGTAATTAAGGAAAATAGAGTAAATTAAGGAAAATATATTGACGTATAAAAGAAAAGAAAATCTGTTGGGGAAAAATTTTAAAATATAAACTGGCGTTTCAAAACGCCGCAATTTAGGTGATAACCGCCGCTATTGCATAT